GCCCCAAGAAATACTTGATGTAAGAACCAAGAAAGGTCACACTCTCATGTGACAGAAAAGGAAACCGATCACCAGCAAGATGGACTGACCCCAGGTCACACAGCAGTGAGATGGGGGTTAGCCCCCTGATAGTGGGCTCCCTTGTTTGGTTTCAGAGCATCCTGCACTCCACATGGCTCTGAGGGATGGATAAAGGCCACCCCAGCAGACACTGCCAGGCTTTGAAACAGATGAAGCCAAGCAAGTTAGTCTGAAGTGCAGCCTGACTTTACTACGCCCTCTCCCCTTCCCACCCTCCTCCTCCTTCCAGAAAGGGATGCTAAAACCGAAAGGCAGTCAGGCCAAGGAGGTGTGAAATGTCCTCCTCCATCATGTTGCTAAAGAGATTTGGAGCGGGGCTGGCAGCCTCGTGGCTAGACTGACATCCCAGGTTCCCAGGTTGGACCAGCCCCGCCTGGACGGGGAGCCAGGAGAGAGCTCTCACGGGGTCTGAGGGCCTGGGAGGACAGTGTGAGGACAGGGGTGGCCTGCAGCTTGATCAAGCATCTCTCTTTGACATCTGCCTGCTCCCATGCATCCCAGGGCCATGAGCCCACCTGCACCTCTCAAACCACCTACTCCCCCCCACCATCCCAGGACCACGGCGTTGGTCCAGCCCACGCCTCTTCTTACCACTGCTGCCACCAGCTCTGCTACCACAATGCAAACCAGAGCGGATCCTATCACTCTCCACTAAAACCCTACAAAGGCATCACTCGGACGGAAAGGAGCCAGAACAGAAGGACACCCGGGGGGTATAGGACCCACTCCTGTGAAATTGCCTAAAACAGGCAATGCTCAGAGCCAGAAAGTATCTGAGCTTCCGAGGGCTGGCGAGGGAGGAATACAAGCAAGCACTAGCAGGGACGGAGTTTCTCGGGCGATGGTAAAGAAGCGTAGGATACCAGCAGCGGTGACGGCTGTGTAACACTGTGAATGTGACCCATGCCACAAAACTGCACACTTTAAGAGTGGCTCACACGGCACTTTTTATTGCAGATACTTTACCACAATAATAACAATGAACCTGTGACTGGATCCTATCACACTGCTGTTTAATGTGTGGCCCTGGGTCCTCTGGTGGGGAAAGTGGCAGCTGCCTACCCTACTCTGGTGTTGCTTGAAGTTCCAAATGGGCCAGTTTCTTCACAGTAATAATACCATCTTCCCACCTCAGTCCAAGAAGCTTGAGAGGGCACCGTGAGGGATGGACACTGAATTTGGGGATGAACAAGAGGAATAACAGCACCCCTGGACACAATGATCGGTTCTTCAACCTCAACTCACAGATCACCTCCTCGGGCAGTGGCTCTCAACCTTCCTCACGCCACGACCCTTTCACACAGTTCCTCATGTGGTGGTGACCCCCCAACCATAAAGTTATTTTCATTGCTATTTCATAACTGTAATTTTGCTACTGTGATGAATTGGGTGACCCTGTGAAAGGGTCATTTGACCACCAAAGGGGTCGCGACCCCCAGCTTGAGAACCTCTGTCCTAGGGGAAGCTCTCCTGACCGCTCAGGCTAATTATGGTAGCACTTATTTTTCACTAATGCCTTCAGTGCAGCTTGGACGTCCGTCTTCCTTCAATACCACTGGTTCTTCATCGTATGCTACCTCTTGAAAGAGTTTACCATTAACTAATTTTTTGGGGTACTGTGAATCTGTGCCTTCCTGCCAGACTCTTTGGATGCTTCCTGTTTTATTCAGTATGTCACAGATGGAATCCTTCAGTACAGCAGTTTGAAGCATGCTCCTCCCCACCCATCAGTTCTTTCAGCTTGATAAATGTTCAGCTTGATAAATGCTGAGCTTGTTTTTCCCTGCGTCTTTAAACTCTGGGTCTTCGTATATTTCATTATAATACTTTGTCTTCTTAAGCTGCCCTTTGAAATTTTCTTTTCAGTTCTACACTCAAGAACAAGTTTCAGAGTCTCTGCTGACATCCACTTGGGTTCACTCTCTCTCTCTCATCTTTTCACAGACCTTCTGCTTTCCTCATGTATGGTGTGCCTAATGCCATCCAAAAACTGGTCTTCCGTTACGAGTGTTCAATGCATCAAAATCCATTCTTGAGATGATTTCCGAATTCAGGTGCAATTTTCAAGTTGTACTTTTATTTTATTTTTCTTCAGCTTCACCTTGAACTTGCATATGAGTAATGGATGGTCTTGTTCTGATTAAGATTGAGCTTCTCCATTGTTTCTTTTCTTTTTTTTTATACTCCATTGTTTCTTTCCACAGAGAGTCCATTTGATGTTCTGGCTATTCCATCCAGCAAGGCTACACACACAGTGCTTGCTGACATCTGTGGAAAACAGGCACTTCCCGTGAAGAGAGCTGGTCTTGCGAGATTCTCAGGTGAGATCCCAGGTTCCTTTTCATCATGACCAGTTTCCAACTACAGGTTTTTCTTCTGTGTTTCCATTTTTGCATTCTAATCAGCACGAAATACCAATGCATCTTAATTACCTTGAAAAAACAGGGTCAACTGCAGACTGCAGAATATTAGCAAAAATCTCTACCACCTTCATCGTGGGTATTAGTGGTACCAGCATTTGAATGGCCAGTGAGTCCTTTGTTTGTGTGTGGATATTATCCTACCCTTCTCAGCGCTGCCTGTACTTTAGGGTCTATCTCGACACGTTCTTTGCGAAAATGAGTACAATGCCATCCCTCTTCTGTTTGTCGTTTCCAGCACAGTATACCGTAGGATTGATTCAAAATGTCCAAGACCAGTTCATTCCAGCTCACTACTGTCTAGGATGTTGATTTTTATGCATTCCAACTTCTGACAACTTCCAGTTTTCCTAAAGTCATACCTGAGGCATCCTGTGTTCCGATTATTAATTAATGGACGGTTGCTGGTTCTTCTCATTTTGCATTGTGCCTCACTGGCAAATGAAGGTTAAGTTTCGCTCCATCCACGTCTTTAAGGTTGACTCCTCTTTGAAGCAGGAGACAGTCCTTCCCCGGTCCTATTCTGAGTGCCTTCCAACTGGAGGGGGTGCCATCGTCTGGCAGAGAATTAGACAATGTTCTGCTGCCATGTATAGGGCCGATGTGATCCAGTGTCTACTCCCAGGTTCTTCTCCCTAGTCTGTTTTCTTCTTTCCTAGCTCTGCTGAAACCGGAGTGGCTCTACTAGGAGTAGAAATACCACCACTGATCTGTCAGTTTCTCACAGGGTGTCGTATGGGTTGCTGGGAGGCCTGAAGTGACACCGTTCTGCAGTTAGATACTGTCCTTAGTCCCATTTTACAGAGGAGGACACTGAGGCAGGAGAGGCTAAAACGCTTTTTGAGTAGCAAGACCTGGATTTGAGTGCAGGCAGCTGGGCACAAGGGTCAGCGCCATCTTTAGTCATGGGAACCACGGCACCATGGCCTGTCCTTACCTACATCGCTCTTTTTTTTATTGAGACACAATTCACTGATAGGGGTTGGACTGTGTACCTCCAAAAGATAAGCTGAAGTCCTAACCATTAGCACCGATCCCTGTGGTCTTGTTTGGAAATCAGGTCTTTGCAGGTGGCATTTGCGCAGTGAACATGAGGTCATAATACTGCAGAGGGTTGGTTGAACCCAGTATGTTGAGGCTTGGCACAGGACGGGACTGGCTGGTGTCTCATTCTGTTGTACAAAGGGTCCCAGGAGCCAGAGCTAACTCATCGACAGCTAATCACCACCGCAACCCAATGACAGGCATCTTCATCCAAAAAAAGAGGGTAACGTAGACACAGAGGGAAGACTGAGGCAGAGCCTGGAGGGACACAACCATAAGCCAGAGTGCTGAGGCTACCAGAGCTCGGCGAGCCCAGGACCTTCCCCCTTGAGCCATCAATACCCTGACCTTGGACCTCTGACCTCTAGGACCGGCAGCCAGTCAACTTCTGTTGTTTTCTCTCTTTCTTTTTTTTTATTTTAACTTCTGTTGTTTTCAATCCCCCAGGTGGGTACTCACTTTGACACCCCTGGAAGTGACCACAGCCACCTACTCCACAAGTCACCCTTCGGAGTGTACATGTACAATGCCCTGCAGCAGTTACCACAGGCTCTGCCAGGGCATTTCCACCTCCCCAGGAAGACAGCCACTCCCCTCACTCCTCCTGGCCCCAGGCAACCAGGAAACTGCTTTCTGTCTCCGTGGACCTGCCCTCCTAGGCATGGCATTAAGTGGACCCACACAGTGTGGGGTCCTTTGAGTCTGTCTTCTGCTCGACGGTGTGCTGAAATGAAGGCCCATGCACGTTCCAGCGTGGGTCAGAGCTGCCTTCCTCTCTACTGAGTAAGATTCTGTCACCTGCCCTGGTGGCATAGCAGGTGACACATCGGCCACTAACTGCCATATCAGCAGTTCGAAACCACCAGCCGCTTTGTGGGAGAAAGATGATGCTTTCTACTCCCGTAAAGTGTGAGGATGCTGGAAACGCCGAAAGGCAGTTCTATTCTGTCCTCCAGGCTTGCCGTGAGGCAGAACTGGCTCGATGGCAGTGACTGGTTTGTTTTTTGGGTACTGCTCCGCCGTGTTGACACACCGGGATGAGGCTGTGATGAACTCTGAGTGCACAGGGTTCTGGGTAGACAGCTGCTTTCACTGATCTCAGGGACATACCTGAGGGCCAGGTGCTGGGTCCGAGTAGCTGACAACTGTTCTTCTCTGAGTGTAAGCTCCCTGAGACAGGAGCCAAGTCTATATTTACCCCTAAGGCATGCCCCCAAGGCAGCAATGATTTGCATGAATAAGTGAATGAATGGATAAGCAGCAGGCACAGGCTGGCCACCCCTGAGCGGAGTACCCTAGGCTAGAATGCTGGGAGTTCTGGTTTCTAGGCCCAGCTCTGCCTCTACTTGGCTGTGTGTCCTCAGGCCAGTAGTTTGTCCTCTCTGGGCCTACCATTTCATTTCCTCAAGTGTGATGGGGAAAGGCTGCCTCCCACCCTAGCCGGCCTCTGCTTACCTCGGGTTCCTCCTCCCCATTCTGGCACAGCTCTGCACCGCCGTGAAGCCTCTCCCGAAGCTTCCCAAGCTCTGTCCGCAGGCAGCCCATCTCCTGCTCCTTGGTCTGCAGGTCTGCCTCCAGCTCCACTTTCTGTTCAATCAGGGCCTTCCCCTGGGCCTCCACCACGGTGACTCGGTGCCGAAGATCATGGTTGATCTTCATCAGCCGGGTCTGCTGTTGCTGCAGCTGTGGAAAAAGGGGGAGGATGCTGGGAAGGGCTGCCATGGACAGTAGCTCAGGCTGTGCACTGGACAAGGGCAAAACGTCAAAAGGCGTGCCACCCCTTCTGTGGCCATCATAACTTAAAATGTGTTCACAGTCTTATAATAGCTCTGGTGGCAGTAAAGATGGGCAAGCTCTGTATTTAGGATGATCACTGTCTAAACAGATGAAAGGTGAAGTGTCTTGTCAGAATGAGTAGGTTATGACAACTTGCCAAGAGACAGAAGTCACATGCTTTGAGAAAAGGTGCCCTGCTGTCATCACGCAGCAGTTCCCGGTGGTATCTGAAGGAGCTTGGAGCCACTGGCCAGGTCCCCAGGAGCCCAGTGACACTGGACAACGCTGCCCCAGGACACAGAGGAGAGGTTAGGAGGACAGTTGCCCCCTCCCAGGGTGTGTGTGTGAGAAGGTTGCTGGACAGTACAGGGCTTCCAGCTCTTCCTCCAGGGTCATCCCTACACCTGCTGGTTCAGGGCTGATGCTACCAACCTGCAGGTAGGTTCCCACCCCACAGAAGCCAGAGAATGGGCCGAAGGGGAGAAGAGGGGCCCGAGGCATGGAGCTGGGGTACACTTACTGCTTCCACGTCCTCGCTCTTCAGGCCGAGCTCCCGGTCTTTGGCTCGGATCTCATCGCGCTGCTTGTCCACCACCTCCTTCAGCTTCTTCATCACCTGCCGCTCACGCTCCGACATGCCTGGGGCAGGGCGGCCGGGGCCAGCAGGTGAACCCAGCTCCGGCCCCACTCATGCCCTCCGACAGCTCCTCCGTCTGGAGGCTGCCTCCTCCCCAATGTCATCAACCTTCCTATCTCCACTCACCACAGTCTGCTCCCTGGTCTTGGATCCTTCCACGCTCAACCCCATGTCTGTGTGGAGCTCCACCTTCGAATCTCCCCAGAGTACCCCTCATTCTTCCAGCCTCGGCTCAGATGCTGCCCCCCCCAACACACACAGAGGTCTGCCCTGCTCCGATCACCCAATATAAAGTGACCTCAACGTCCACCACCTGGCCAGGTCCTCCCGATCCCAATGCCTGCTGATTGCCTTGCTAGCACGTAGCATCGTTAAAACCCAGTACCATCTCCTGGCTGCCCATGGGTCAGAGGAGAACAGGGATGTAGGATTTGGAGCAACTTTATGAGAGCAGAGAGATGGCCAGAACTTCCTGCTGCAGTCTCCTGGCTGGGCTCAAACCAGCAACCCTGAGGTCAGGCAGCAGCTAAGCACACTCTGTGAACGAACGCCACCCTGAGACTGTGCCTAAGTGCCTGAGTCAGTCTGTTTCTCATTGTGGTAACCAATATGAAACAGCATTAAAGCTGGACAACTCTAAGCATTTTTAATGTACAGTTCGCCGGCATGAATTATACACACCAATTCCCCATCCCCACAGCCCCGGGGGCCCCCGAATCTGAGGACAGATTCTGAGAAACTGAGGACAGAGGTTAGTGGCAGGCCTAGGCCCAGGGTCCAGCAAACTGGCCCAGACTGCAGGCTCTCCCAGTTCCTAGGCTGTCATCTGCACGGGAATAGACGGCCTCGTCTTTGCTTCATGCTGGTGGGTTCGAACTGCTGACCTTTTGCTGAGCCATCCAACACTTAACCCAGTAGGTCACCAGGGCTCCTAATACCCCCCAAATAAAGATACAACAAATATCAAAACACACTGCTGTCGAGGTATGACCCTTGATGCCTCACAGACAGGGGGAAAAAAAACAAACCAAAACACCCAAAACTAATAATACTGCCAGAGTTGATTCTGACCCATAGGGACCCTGCAGGACAGAGTAGAACTGCCCTTGTCAGTTTCCGAGACTGTAAATTTGTATGAGAGCAGACAGTTTCATCTTTTTCCCCAAGAGGAACGGATGGATCCGACCAATGCATAACCCCCTATGCCACGAGGGCTCCACGCCACCCCCAAGGTCACCCTAGTTCTGACCACCACTGTCGTCATCATCGATTAGTTTGGGCTAGTTGTGACCTTCATGTCAAAGGAGTCTTGCAGTGTGTTCTTGCTCAAAAAGTGCACACACCATAAAGCCCAGCTCACTGAGTTTCAGTGCAGCCAGTAATCACGGAAGGTCTGGTCCCCCCGCCCCCGAGGCTTGTGAGGGTCCCACCTTGGACAGAGTGTGGGTTGCCGCCTTTTTGTCTCCCGCCTTTGTGGAACGTCCCTGGGCCTTCCATCTCGGGTGGGTTTCCTGCCCACACAGATTCTGGCTGTCACGGCTGTTGCTGTGTGCTCGCAGAGCTGTGCAGCACTCCCCACTGTCTCCTTCCAGAATGTTTGCCCTTCCCTAAAACAGCATGCCCGCCCCACACAGCCCTTGGCAACCACTGATCTTCCTGCCCTCTCTGTGGACTGGCGTCCTCGTATGGCTGGTCTGCGGGCCTGGCTTCCCTTCACAGGGCAGCACGTGCAGATCGCCCTTCCCTTGGGTGCGGAGATCTGTGGATGGACGCCTGGGGGCGGTCTGTATAAGAATGGCCGGGGTGGACATTCATGTGCGTGCTTCTGTGTGGACTTAGGCTTTCCCCTCCTCTGGGGCCCCTGCTCAGCAGTGGAGCTGCTGGGGTGACCAGTAATTCTATGTCTCTTCTTCTGAGGGACTGCCAAGCCTTTGGTCCACTTCCCTTTTGCACCAGCAGGTGAGAGAGCTCTCCCTTCTCCAGGTCCTCGTCAACACTTGTTTTTCACCTCTCATTTTAAAAATGACTCCCAAGGAGCAGGTGTGAGGAGCCTCTGGGCGGTGTAAACATTGAACACGCTCGGATGCCAGCCAAAAGGTCAGAAGGCCGAGTGCTCTCATAGGAGCCTCAGAAGAAAGGCCTGGTGATGGCTCCAGCCCACCAGCCCCTGAAACCCTTTGGAGCCCAGCTCTACTCTGACCCACAGAGTCACCATGAGTCAGAATCACTTGGAGACAGCTGGCGTTAGTGGGAGTTGAGTACAGGTTCTCCAGGCTCTCGTATGTGTGTGCGTGTGGCTCGCTGTCCATGTCAGCTGCTGTCAAATCCGTCCCTGACTCCTGGTGACCTCACACATGAGGGGATGAAATGCTGCCCGCCCGGTCCTCAGCCGTCCCCATAACCAGGTGCAGAGAGTGTGAGCCCCAGGACTTCTGAAGCAGATTACCAGGTCCTCCTTCATCTGGAAGCTCCGCTGAAACCTCAGCACGACAGTAACGTGGAAGCTTCCACTGACAGAGAGGCAGGCGGTGGCAGCGCTTGAGGCACACTGCCGGGTACCGAGCCCAGCTATGCCACATTAGAAGCCAAAAGCCAAAGGCACTGCTGTGAGTTAGGACAGGGCATAACTGCTCACGAGGGTTCCTGAGGCCGTCGATCTTTACAGGAATCGTCAGCCTCAGCAGCTGGTGGGTTTGAACCGCTGACCTTGTGGTTAACAGCCCAACATGTAACCCGTAGCGCCTGGTCTCCAGTATGAAAAGCAAGAATTCTAGCCTTCAGTCACCACTGGCCCCCACCACGTGAGTGTCACGGGAGTTAATCTGTGCAAAGTGCTTACACAGGCTAGTCCAGCCTGCCTGAGAGCCACCAAGGATCAGCTGTTGTTTGGCCCACACTTTAGAAATACCAGTTCTCCTCGCTCCACGGGCTGCTGCTGGGGTCATACTAGCACTTGTAGACAAGTGCTTTGAAAAATGAAAAGTGTAAAAAGAAAAAAGAAAAGTGCTCTTACTAGGCTCATAGACACAGTTAAAAGCTGGAAGAGCTCTGAGCCATCATATCAGTCACCCAGCCACGCAGCACCTGGACCTCGATCTAAAGAGACACTCAGGCCCGGACACACAATGGTCAGAGCAGCGGCACTTGTGCTGGTGACCATGCAGCCACACTGTAAGCCTCCCACAGCTAGAGAACCCCTGAACAGGAGGAAGCGCCCTAGAGACTGGAGAGCCAGACCAGGGTGTCTGACCCAGGGTGCCAGACACAGGATTCACTAGTACAGCAAAACCTGCAAGAGTTCGAACCTGTGGATGGTCAGAGAGAAAAGTGCAATTACTTCTCACTAAAGTGAGTGACAGCAAAGTGGTTAGGTCATAACCCAACAAAGGTGGAAGAGTTACAGACACCGGAAAAACAAGGCAGTCCTGGTGACCTATGGCTCTCATGGGTGCACTGGGGGGGAATCAAACCCACGTCTCTCATAGAGAAGCCAAGAAATCGACCAGTGTGTCACCGATGCCTTATGTGGTCAGTTGTCCTGTCTTGTGATGAAATTGTTCTTCCAGAGGCCTAGAATGTGTTGAGATCTATGAGATTAAACAAGTGAGCGGAGATCAGAGGTGCCTACTGCCACCAAGAAAGAAGAGCTGAGAGTAACGTGAGCCCTTTGGACACAGGGTCCCTGTGCTGGGAACCTCCTAGACCCAGGGGAAAATCGATGCCAACACACATGGAGATCCCCAAGGAACACAAGCTCACAGAGTTGAAAGGAGCCGGTGGGGAGAGAGAGCCCTCCCCTAGAGCAGGGGCAGTGAGCCTGGATTTCTAGCTCCCTGAGCTGTGAGGGAATACATGTGTTTGTTAAAGCCACTCCCTTGCAGTAATGGCAGCACTAGAGAACTGTGACACAGACCCCCCGAGCTTACATTTGTAGGGCCTTCTTCTGCCCATCCCTAACTCACTGGGCTCCACCTTGTCCCAGGGAATCATGTGTCCAAATCCTATTCCTAGAACCCGAGTGAGAAATGTGTTTGCTCATAACATCCCATCCAAAATAAAAGTCAGCATGAAAGGCATGCCAGGCATCTGCCTGGTGTGTCCACTGGGGGTGTGGTGGGTGGGGTGGAGGGAGACTGCCACCAGTGGGAGCCCAGGGCACTCTCCCTGAAGGAGCCCGAAGAACACGGATTGAAGGCACAAGATGCCACTTCCGTCCTCCAAAGCTGCACCACCCAGGCAACTGGTGACACCCCAGCAGGGATTTGGGAAGTGGCCAAGGCACAGTCAAGCACTCCCTCTAGACAATGATGCGTCCAACACACACCGCGATATTTAGTTCAAAAACAAAAAACCACCTGCATGTAATTCTTACACACTTTT